TCAAGGCATGCTGTCAGAAACTGAGGCCAAGAGTATGTCCACTCCTCTTTGGGAAAACTCTAGTTGAAGTGGTCTTGCTAGCTTCTCCTAGAGACTGTGCAGGGACCACCAGACCCTCTCCAGAACCATAGGGATCTGTCTCTTCAGCTAACCCAGCCTTTGGGAAGGCTTCAGAGAAATGGGTGTGTGGCCATGTCAGCAGAGGGTATCCTGTCTCTCTAATCTTGGGGCCCCAGCTCAAGCAGGTGCTTGGAGAATGGCAACAAGTGAGTGCATTTTCCTCCAGCCCAAGTTATCCAAGCTTCTGACTACTCTCCTTGTCTCTGTAAGGGAGAAAGTTCTTTCTGCAAAATGCAATAACCCAATGGACCGAGGTCTGAATCCTGCCTCCTCCAAACCCTTGTCCCACAGAAACAGAACCTGAGGTGTGTACTCCTGAAGTCCTTAAGTCCAGTCCTTAAGCTGGTTGAAATTTAAATACATCTTTAACAAGGCAAATGACAAACATAATTGGACTTCATATGACTGGTGGAAAAATGCCCCAGTAATTAAATACAAAAGAAGAAACTCTGATCCCTGCTTTATTTCTGTTTTGATCTTTAATGTCCCTTTTACACTGCCTGGGAAAATTAAGGGAGACCCACTTATATGGGGATCATACCCTAAAATAGATATAATAGCAAGGAGAAGTCACTTTTAAAGTCTGACTGAGTGTCAGGATTATCAAACTGAAATCTGCTTAGCAGTCTATGTTAGTCAGACCAGTGATCAGTCAGCAAAGAGAGTTTTCTAAATGATTTAAAAAAAGTTGTTAGTTTTCTTGAAGCTGAGTCAATTCAAGATATGTTTCTGGCCACTTTGTGCTGTGCAGGTGGTTTTATTCAGAGAAAGCTTGTGTACTGCTGGACTTCACTGCAGTCTGCGATGCAGGCAGTGATCAAACCTTCAATGACAGTGGTCAACACCTTAAAACCCCTGGCATACTGAGGATCATGGATAAAATTGTCAAGAATTTTTAATGAATCAAAAAATGTGTATGTTATTTTGTGCTGATGAGTATTTCATTTTCAGCCCAAATGCATCTTTTTATTTGGGAATTTTTTCCTAAAAAGGAAAGTGCTGGATTCACAGGAGTGCTGTGAGGTGACAGCCACAGACCTGGAAGCAGAGCTCTGGTGGTTCACAGAGTGGGGTTTAGTTTCAACAGCAGGAAACTGAGGCACCTCTTGGTTCTCAATCCAATCATCACCTCTTTCCCAAGAAGAGTCATCAGTCACCAGACTGCAGATTCAGTCTGCACAGAAAGTAATCCGATATTTTATACGGCATAGAATAGGAAAGACAAATTCTGCATCTGAACTTGCACTTTATTGCATGTCAGAGTGCCAGGTCAGAACCTGTGCTCTCTGCCTACTCCTATCTAAGGCTCTTTTCCCTGCTCCCCTGCTTCTCCCACCCTCTTGCCCACCATAGAGTATTCACTCCCCTTTGCCATCTGTTATTGCTCTCCCTCTCTTTGTCCCCAGACATTTTTGCATCCCTTGCTTGCAGTAATGGCTCACTCACCTGTTCCTGCTTCAGGTGGCATAGGAACCCTTGCTCAGGCTGCAAGAAACACACATTCCATGCGTCTCATTTCGAGAATGCTTCCAGTTTTGCATAGAAACGAAGGGGCATGTGTGAGTGTGTTTGGAGGGGGTGGAGATGTACAGGGTCTCAAACTTCTGGGGTGTAACCAGGACACACCTCAATGTAAAATGTAGGAAGTTTCCCTGGATGTGATAGAACAGATCTAGTTGGAGAGATCCTGACACTATGCTGCAGTGACTGAAATGCTCCCCCAGGCAATGGAATGCCCATCTCAAGCAAAGCAAAGCCCCTGAGCAAATCAGATCCCAGTCTGTGACTGCTTCCTCTGGGCACCAGGAGCCAGAGCCACATTCAGGTGGCCCTCAAGGCTGGTGCAGATTTGCCCTAGAGGAAGACCTCTGCACTAGAGATAAACTGAGGAGCTTTCTAACATCACATTAAAAAATAAAAAAGTCTAAAATATTACCAGAGTAGTGTAAAATGTCTCACACAAACAGACAGGAGAATACAGGCAAAGTGCAGATTCTTACCAAGAAAGGCAGGAACCCAAATAGTTAAAGACTGCTTGAGATGGCTCTCGGAAGAACTCTCAAGATGAACTCATGACCCTACTGAGCTCAGTAAGAAGCCAACTATGGGCTTACAGAGAGCTAGGACTTCACCTAAAAGAAACTGATCTATAAACATTCACATCATTGCTCATAATCATTTTGAAAGATGTCATTAGTCTTTAGAGTGATGCTTTATCTACTTGATTTCTGAGGAAATTTTAACATGGTGAAACAAGTCCCGTCACATTACCTTGTAATAGTACTACTCCTCATGATAATAATTAACGGTGATGATCATGATCATGATGATAATAATAATAAACTTTCTTTTCATTATTATATGAGATACCATAGCATATTGTAGAGCAGCATTAATTACTGCTTATATTAATTATATTATATAGTACTCCCAGACTGTCAAATTGCATATTTTTTTACCAAAAATAATGCTCATATTTTTTGTTGTTGTTGTTCTGAAAGTCCCTTTCCCCAGTTTTAAAAACTCATTTAAAAATGGTAAGGAGTAAAATTTGTAAAATTTTAAATATCTGTAGTCTTAAGGATCAAATGGTGGAAAAAAGCTGCGCTTCTATTTGAACTGAAAAAAGGTTGTTAAAAAAGTATCAACCTAAGAATCAAACCAAATCTCATTAGGTTTTAGGAGGTCTGATTCAATATATTTTGCATGCTTTGAGGTTGTGAGACTGAAACTCCTTCCTGTTTACCTGTAGGCTCACGGTGAGAAGCAATTCTGGCAGCTGACAAAGAATGACAGTTGATTCATTTTTTGTATGTGAAAGTGAGAGGATTCAAGGCAAGGACTAGAGTCTTTGTCCTGCAACCACATTTAATGTAAAACTCTGTTATGCTTCTGCATATGAAGCTATTTAATAAATAGCCCTAACATGAGGAATCACCCAAATGTTTTGGCCTCCATTACAGAAAAACAACCTGCTTACACTGAGGATCCTGTTATTTTTTGTGGTAGACTGCTAAAGGATGGACACCAAGTGAAGATAACACTCCTCAGTATCTCTCAGGAGCATGCCATAGGAGTTATTATTACTGGAAATAATCCCTAGGAAGTCAATGGAAGAACTTAACTTCAAGACAATAAGGATTTTATTTGTTGTTTTTATAAAATCTTGATTGCATAAAAGAATGATACAAGCCTATATATATATATATATAGTGAAAGGAACACTTACTTAGCTGTTAAAACTCCCAGATAAAGAACCTTGCAAAGGTTTGTTTATCTCCATTGCGAGCAAATGCCTACAGCTAGGTGAGAAAACCTCACCCCTGTCTCAGATAAACGTTAGGTCTCTCCACATTCCGAGAAGCTCTGGAGGCTGAGGTATAAGCTCTGCTGTCATTAGGTGTCTCAGGGGTGTTGTCTGGGGGAGGGTGAAGCTCCACATGGTGTCTGCCTGCCCAGAGGAGCCTGAACCCTCCCAAACACAGGTGGACGAAGCAGTGATCTCCTCATAGTGGCTGTGTGCAGTTCTGGGGAATGTGGTCCTAGCAGTAATCCAGAATACTGATCCAGGCAGCTGAGATCCTCCAGTCTGATCAGATTCAGGCTCCCCATTCCTACTTTCTGGGATAATGCCTAAGCACAAGGCTGCGAGTTGCATTATTTGATGAATCTGGACCACTCTACTGAGTGGAATCCAAGATCTGAGACACCAGGTCTTGTACATAGTAATAAGCTAAGAAGAAAGCTGTTTCTGAAACCCACCATCCATCAAGATCTGGATAATGCTGAACTCTGGTCCTTGTTACTGAAGTCACTTAATGTTGTTCATACAAAGCCTCTCCCATGGAAAAGTGTGTGGAGCACAGGCTTGCTGACACATCTTACTTTGTCAGCTCAGCTTTGCTGAGAAGAATGGACTTGATCTCTACATCTTCTAGCTTCTGTGTACTTTTGATGCACTTTATACCCAAAGCATGGATTTAGGTCCTTTAAACAGAAAACTAAACCCAAACCATCACAGCTGTGTGCTTGAGGTGTGAAACTGTTGCATGAAAGTGCACTTTGGTGACATTTTTATTCTCTCTTCCTCTACCAACATTCCAAATGCAGTCAGTAACACTTCCCTCCCCCAGAAGGTTTTAAAAATAAAACATACACATGCCTACGTGAAGAGACTTCAAGGCTGTGGAAAGGACACATGTACACCTATGTCCAGGGCTTCTTTTCTAAACCATAAAAACAGGAGAAGGGTACAAAACACAGATCTGTCTTCATTGTTACAGTCTCCATCATTGGAAGTGTTTAATTTCTCATCCTGATGGTTTGATGGATGGAATCCACTTTGGGGTGTCATTTTCCCTGCATCTGCGTGCAGAGAGCCTGGATGTCACTTTGGGTTCAGTGTGAAGGTGCCTGCTCCCCAAAGGCAGCCTGTACTCTTGTGTGAAACTGGCCTTTACTAGTTTCCAGGCTAATGGTTTTAAATAGTGCTTAGGTTCAGAAATGCCTTTCAATCAAACATATATGTTCAGCAAAGGGGAATGGATTTTTGAGGGTAGAAAGGTCTTTATGCACCCAGGACCTAACTACTGATGTTTAACCATGCCTGTCTTTCCCCTAGAGACCCCCTATGCATAACAGCATCAGTGTATGCACTGTACATCCAATGCCTGTTCAGACTGCAATGGATGCTGCTCCTTTAAATAAGTTTGTTGTTATTTTTCTTGCTCTGTTGGGCACCGCAACACTGAAGTCATGTTGAGAATATTGCTCTAAGCCTCTTCTAAAAATGAGAGATAGGAGCCCAAGCCTTACTGAGTCATTTCTGCACTTCATCTCATAAGCTTTACTCAACAGTAAAATGTACTTCATCACAGTTATGCTGAAGACACTGCAAATTCTCTCTTCCATGGAGGTGATCAGAATCACATCCTCTGGCCACCTGCATATGAAACAGAAATCATGTGTAGAGCATGGCATTAGTTACCAAACTGCAGTGCAAGGGTAAGATGAATTATTTTTTTTACTGTACTTGAAAAAGAAGTGAGGAAGGAGTTAATCATTGCAAAATACGTGGTCATTTCCTGAGCCCTGTGGTTGGATGAGTACAAACTTTCAACTATTTCTAATTCTTCTCTGTCATTTAAGAGGCTTTCAAGGTGCACTGTCCATCCCAGACCAGGTAAGGAGTACAGTTTTTCACTTCTTGGTTGTTTATTCAAAATTGTTTTTCAGTGGAGTCAGATTCACCCAAGATTGATTTGCTCTCCTTCCTATTACTTGCATCTGAAGGGGGAACAAAGTTCATTGCAATCCAAGAAGTACATGTGTGTCTTTGTGCCAGATGAATGTAAGCTGTAGAAATGAAGAACTGCATGGGTTAATAATTGAGCAATATTAGCGAAGAAGTATATGATACTATTAGAATTATTACAGCAAATACTGCCATAAAAAAGAAAGAAAACTCTTACTGCCAGACATAAGGAGTTTACTCTGCACAAACCAGTATCAAAATAAGGGGTTCTCAGGTGTACAATTTGCTTTAGTAAGGAGAGTAATAAAAATGATAGTGTGTCTTCAGTGTTACCGTCAACACTGAAATAATATTTTGAAACACTATAAAAATATTATTTTTAAAAGGAGGAAGAATGAGCTTCTACATATTTGGGGAGGAGAAAAAATAAAAGGAAAAAAAACCCCACCTGATAATTTTGGACCAGTTTTATTTGTAAATCTGAACCTGATATCTATCTTTAGCTATTGCAGAGTCACGCATTATAGTCATCCTGAGACTGCTCCCCAGGTTTGCAGCAACCAAACATACTCAGAAGTGACTGTGGAACCGTATCATAGAACGATATAATTTCATCGGGGTCTTTTGATGCATAAAAACTGAACTTAGGCACCAGAAAGAAGTCTCGTAACACAGTGCACTCTTGCATACTGCATTTGTTGTCTCAATAGATGGAGAGAGAGATTATTTGTGTGAAGGTTTCTTTAACAGTTCAGAAACAAGCATAAAATAGCCATCTGTAGGGCAACTCCTGTAATAATGTGCAGTCATCAGGTTGCCCTACAGAAAGTGAAATTGTATGTGCCGTGAAGATCCCTGTGTGAAGTCATATATTGGAGATTCAGGGTTTTAGCATTTGGGGTTTTTTAAGTCTTTGCTTGTAATCAGTTTTGATGTTTGGACATTGGCTCCTTGGCTGTGCTCACTGTTTGGTATAAACACTCTGGATTTTATACATAGTGGTCGGGAGAATCTAGCTAAGGTTTTCATAAGCATTTGTTTGATTCAGACACATCAGTCTTACCAAGGTTTGGACTTCATTCCTAAGTCACCTCCACCTTACCTGTGAGATTGCTACTACGGTAGCACTTGAACCTTTGAAATGAATTTGACCCTTGAAAGACTCTATGAGCCACAGAAGTTTTTTCATTGTCATCTACAGATGAGGAACTGGGATGAATCCCAGTTTATGCGAACCTTGTGCTCCAGTTTTCGCAGCTCCCCAGGGAAGGCAATCTGATCAAGTCCCAGGTCTTCCCTTGCAAAGAGCTATATGTCAGTTTAGATGCAGCCAGAGAGCATGTCATCATCCTGCTAAGGAAGAAGACATGGCATGGGTAGATGCATTTGAATCAGCCTTAGTCTTCTCAGTTTGAGTGTCAGTACTAAACAACCTGTTGTTCCTTAGAGCTCTGTATGGCCTTATCTGCTAAATACTTGCAGCCTATGCTATAGCTCCCTGGATGAAAAGTTAGCTGCAGTGTGTCTACTCATCCTGCAGTCACATTTCCCAGTTACTGCACAGGTACAGCCCAAGAAAAAGTACTCAGCAGCTTTGTGGGGGAAGAGCAAACTGAACCCAGGCCTCCCCTGTCACCAACCAGCAGCTTAACCACTGCTTCTGCATCCCTTGAGGTACATTTATTGAAACCGAGTTTTTACCTTCTGACTGTCAGGGTGGGTTTGGGTTCAACTTTTTGGCTCAACTCTGCCTCTGCAGACGATTTTGCTCTTTCTGACAACTGTAAGTGCAGAAAGGGTCAGGTTAGGTGATTTCAAATGTCTGCTCACAGTGCTCTCTTTCAGCATGAATATCATTGTCTGGTGTGGGAATAGGGTGTACTCCTCAGCTGTCCATCAGAGGGGGGCATATGCTATATGTAGCGGTATAACAGGATGGAAAAGAAACAAACCCTGGAAAAGCCAGTCCTTGTTCAGTAAATGTGGTCTCTCCCAGTAGCTGCTGTGTTCTGGTCAAGTGGCTAGAAGGGAGAATCTCAGCAGCCTACAACCCAGCCTCAAGAAGCTATCCTGTGTTGGGCTCCCTCTGTCCTGCTCAAAAGTGGAGAGACACCAAGACTGTTTCTCAGTGTGCTTAGAAGATGTGGTGGTGCTTTGCACACATATTGCCACCTAACTAATTTGCTATTAACTTCATTTGATATTTGCATAGTTTCCAGATAAAAAGTAGTTTCGAAGCAGAAGTCCAGGGGGGTTCAACACTGACAACTAATGTTTGCAAAACCTCCAAATGGACAGAAGGATGTTTTTAATATCAGGCATACTTTCTGACAGTGTTCCTATGTTTTTCACAGAGTGTAAAAGGAGATTCTTATTTGAAAAATGACTTCATAGAAACAGGAATGTTTGACCCTTGACTACTGCCTTAAAAGTTCGTGGATGAAATGAGATCATTTTATAAGTAAATGTCTTTGGAACTGTTGTTTGGACTTGTTTACTCTTACTGCCAGCTCTTGAATGGGAAGGTCAAGTTGGTGTTCCTCCTGGGCTTACTATTTATATGCCGGAAACCTGTGAGGGTCTCTTAGCCTGAGAATTAGGGTTGTTATTTTAAAATAGGTTTAAAATGGGTAATATAATCTATTTTTTGTCTAATTTTACACCCTAATCAATGAGAAATATTCCACATGGTTCATTTTCTACATCCTTGAATCTAGTAATGTCAGTTTGATCTGGTCTCTTTTCACACATTTTTGATTGGAAGCCTTCTGTCCTTACTGAAATTTTCCATTGGCAGTCTTACATTTCAGTGTTGTTGAATATTTAAATAAAGCCAAATACTCAGACAGAGGAAGACAGAGAGAAATCAGTATGTGCTTCATGCAACAGCTCAGGTTTTTAAATGCTGTATTTAACTCTCATTGATATCGTCACATTGATATCTCATTGATATTGCACAGACTGATGAGAGCCCAAGAGTCAATCAGGCTAGGGCAAGGCATCTATAAGCTTGTCCATCAAGAGCTGCACATTTCTGTTACATTTTCACACTACCGCATGAGGAATTCAGGTTCAGCAGCTGATGAACTGAAAACAATTTTGCGCTCGCATTCTCGCTCTCTGAACTGCTCATTAAGTCTTGAAATAACAACAGAAATTGCACACTCGTATGGTCATGATGAAGCAGCTATCAGATACACTGCACCTGATTCAGATCTGCTAAAGCAAGAAGGGAATATATCAAGTCACCAAAAAGTATGTGCTCTTTTCCATTGTCTTTATCTTCAGATGTGGATATTTTGCATCTTTAGTGATCCTGCACAGATACGTTTTAAAGATAGTGAACTGTGTTTTAAAGCCATGAAAGGCAATGTTATCAGTTCTTGTCACTGTTCAGCATTATCTTTAGATGTGTTCCTTTTATTTTGGTAACAACTGACTCTTAAAAGGTTTTTTCTTTGGTCCTTTCTGCAGCTCTACTCATAGAGGAAATCTGATCTGTTGCAGCACGGAAACATCAGTGGTGACCACATCGAGACAAATTCCTTAGGGAGCAGCCTGTAAGTCTGATCAACACTTAAGATGAAAAGTTTTGCATTTTCTGTGGCAGGATGTTACACGCAGAGTTTAGCTGTATGAGGGAACTGCTGAGGCAAAAAGGGAATATTCAGGAACACAAGCCTCTGCTTTGAGTAGGTGAGCAAGCACAAAGGAATAATCTTGTAAAGACTTTTCCTTTCTCCCCCTCACCCCTCAACTTCTCAAAAATATGATCAGTATTTGAGATTCTCTAAATCATGCTCAACTAAAATTTTATTCTCTCAGGACCCTGGGTACACTGAGTAGACCCCACTTACCGGCTACAATGGCTCAGCAGGCTGAGAATAAGCCTTCATTGCTTGTGTTACTTCCTCCTGTGACAGCCAAGCAGTGCAGAGATCAAACAGAAATCTTCCTGGAACACAGAGGGATGGTGGGAAGTAGGATAGGAAACTGGATAGGCAGGAACACAAATAGTGAGGGAAATTTAAAAAAAATTAGAGAAGAGGAAAACTGGTAGCATGAAATCGAGGTAGACGAGGACTGAGAGCGGTGTCAGGACAGCGGTTAGCAGGAGAAAGGCAGACTTTGTTTTTTACATGCTACAGATAATGTAAGTGGGTTTGTAGAGGACAGCAAGGCATGATCCTTTTGGCTTTTTTCCTCAAATACTTTTGTGAAAAACCTGCAATATCCAGGTCTCTGTAACCTAAAAATAAATCTTCAAAACAAAGTGAGTTTGTCTGCACCCTCTAGTGGTCTAGAAAGAAAATATGGTCTTGTCCAACAGTAATTTTGCACTACATCCATTTGTTGAGACCAATCACACCTTGTTGGGTTTTTTTAGCTTATTTGACATAACTGTAATAACTGTTCTCAGCCTCTTAAACGTGATGGGTACATCCAAGTTCCTTTTTGGGACTGGTTTTTGGTTTATGATAACTCTTAAACTACACAAGATGGTTGTGTGGGGCACGGAGTTGTTTGAGGGAGCATTAGTTAGTGTAAAACAAAACTGTGACAGAAATGTAACAGCTCGAGGAATTGAATTTCATGGCCTGAGCCCAGCTTCTGACAACATTTGATTTACTAATGTTGACATACTCTTTATGTAGTAACATTTCCCCTGTGCATGCAGCACAGCCCTCGGTCTCCTAAGCGTATATAGTACAGGAGAATACTTCAGCACAAAAAAATCAACCAACAGCCCATTCAGAGGGAGGCCTTTTCCTGTCTCCTTGATCAGCTCTCATCTACTTGCTGTTGGAGAACATATGCTGACTGAGATGTAGAACTACAGGAAAAGGCAAAGTAGACTTTGAAATGAGATTCTGGCATTGATTCTGTCTGAAGGTCTTGTGTGATGCTGAGAAAAGGGCACCTCCATAAGAAAAGGATGCACGAGAAATACAAGAAATGGAGCTGGCATGAAACTTCAGAGTTTCGGTTTCAACTCGGGACAATTCTCCTGCAGCCTCTGACTACTGGGCAATTATGCCCTAGTAATTGCTTGTCATAACATAAGGTAGCAGCACTTAAGTTAGCAGTACTTAAGATACTCAAGGACAAGTATAAGCAGATATCCCTTGCAATTATAGAGCAATTGGATTTTGTCAGTTGAGACTGAGAGAGCTGTCCTAGCGCTGGTAAGGAGCATGCTTAAAGCACATCAATAAGATTATGATTCTTCTTTAGAAATACAAGTACTTTCTTTCAAAGGGTATGAAATATTGCAACTCCTCCTCTAGAGTACTTTCCGGGGAGGAAGAACATGTACATTCAACACTCTCTTTGGAAATAATTTAAAGCCTTATCCACCTTCTTCCTTGCTAGCCAGATAATATGCTAGTACCACAATCTGGGCTGATTTGCACCTGACCAGTTGAAGAGCAAGCAATGGTCATTGGGCAAAAGGAAAGCAGATGGCTGAAATACTGTTCAGACAGAAGGCAAAAGGCCTCATCTTTAGTCTTGTCCTTAAGGACACTATTTCACGTTAAATAGTCACTGAATAACCCCGAAGTCCAATCTAAAGAGTAGATACCAAAGCCATGTTCACTACCTTACAGCTGGTGACTGCCCTGTCAAAAGGCTGGAGATTCTCTTGCCCTCCTGCATGGCATTTTCATCTTTCCCTGAGTTATTATATCAACAAGTTTTTTATTACGCATCTTTGATGCGAAACATGGGCAGTACCTAGCAGTTTTGTGGTTAAAACAATCTCCTGCACAGATAATAAGGTCCATGGTCAGACTAGGAGGACAACTTGAGGCACCTATTTCCTGACTTTAACCACTACTACTTAGGGAAGGGAAATGTTTATCTTCTATCAACCATCTTAAAATATTGTAGTAAACTATATTCAGTCCCCAGAACAAAAGGCAACAGGGAATTTTCATAAAAGGAACCTTCAACAAGAAGAGGTTCCAGGCTCAGGTCTCCCAGTAGTTTTCCTGCAAGGATGTTCTGTGAGACTCACTAAGATTTCTTTTCCCCAAGTCTTCATGTTTCCAAGGCTCATCCACAGTCTCCTCCAGATGACCTATGTATGTGGCATGTGAAGAGTGCTGGCTGCACACCGTTCCTCATCATTGACTATTTCAGATCACATTAGGAGTCACCTAAGTCCTTACCAATGCCTTAAACTTTCCACCCATGTGATGCTCATATTACAGAGCCTGAAATTCTGTTTCAGATCTGCCTTCAAAGGGGTTAAGCTTTCAGAAACAGGCAACAACTCTGAGTTCCTCATTTTCAAATGCTCATTAAAAAACACCTGGGTCTGACTTGCAGAAGTATTGGCTACGTACAGATCCAGATATAGTCAATGGAAATGTGGCTTTGAAGCAGTAAAATTCTATGTAATACCACATGTTGTTAGAAATCAGGTCCTATGCAACTCAAGGTCTCAACTCCTTACTTTCCTGTTTGTAACATGGAGTTAAATAATCTTCATATTAGAGGAAGGCTGCAAAGAAGAAATTTGTGGGTTTTTTTTTAAGGACTTTCATGCCACAACACTGGATGCCACAAAAATGCCTACAAATAAATTATTTATTTGGTATTGAGGACAAGAGTTTGAACAGTGCATTGTATGTAGGGCATAGTGCACTTCAGACATTGAACAGTAAAAAGAAAAAAGTCTAGCTATTTCTGATGGGGTATTTTGCCTTTGGAAAAATTGCTGGGAGGGTATTGGTTTCAACACAGGTCAAATGGAAATGAGCAGGCTTAAACTTGTCCATTTTCCAGCCAGCTGACTTGTAGGCTTCTTGGCAGTTGACTTTCAGCTTTTCACTAGTAGGATGATTAAACTGCAAAGCAACCAGGGGAACCCGCTGGTGAAATTCTGGTTCACAGGCTCTTCTGCTGTTCGTTTCTCCACACTGCTAGAGCAGTAACCCTCCTGAGGTACATGAGCAGTGTATTTTGACAGGGAGGGAAAAGACATTTTCGTAAGGGACACCTTCCCCTCCCCTCACTCCCAGGGCTCTGCAAAGCTGATGATCTGTTACACAGTGCTTAAGTAACCAGCAAACTAATCAGAGATGTTATGGTCATTAGAAATGCATAGTTAGTGAAAAAGTTTGCAGCTTATCCATGACTGCAGATAACAGAAGCTGGCTGCTAGTACAAGAATATGATGCTGACTTAAGCAGAAGCAAGATCAAGCCCTGAAGTTCGACTAATCTGCCTTGTACATTTTATTCATCTCCTTATCAGCCCAATTCATAACCTAAATTTGTACATGCTTGTCAAAGAAAATATCTGGAACCCACTTTTTCACTCAAAGATGTGCCTTCTAATTCACACATTTCTCCCATGGGGCATAAAAATATTAACACCTCTAAGAGGGTAAAGAATAAGGTTTCCTGCTAGGTGTCTGGCTTTCATGATCTGAGCAGTTCTCTGGTGTGCAGAGATGTAAATCTGGCCTTGGTGGATAAAACAGTCTCAAATTCATCACTGAGATGTTTTCATGATGTTAAATGTTTAAGATTTAAAATAATATATACTTGCAATATACTTTTATTCAGTTTTTTAAATAAAATTTTTCCATCAACACTTAAACTATACAAGTTATACTAGTCCAATAATTTTGCTCGACTCACATGACTATTCTTGCTCATGTTTGTGGTGTATCTTACATGAGCGCATGATTAATCCCACATGAGAGAGGCAGAGATCATAACTGATCTGGATATCAATAACAGAGATGGTTGGTCTATCTTCGACTTGAAAATGCTTACACTGAGTGGGGTGGGTTCCCAGCACCTCCCAGTTTTTGCTGCTGCAGTACTGCAAAAACTAACATTGAAGTTTCTCACAGCAGTGTCTGGTGATCACTTTTTATACAGGGAACACCAGCATGTGGATAGGTTATTCCTATGCCAGTCAGCAGGAGGAGAGCAAAGAGAAACAAATTGTACTGCAGAAATACCGGCTCCTTTAATTGTGCCTGCTTTTCTGGCTGCTCTGACTTGTCTCTGGGACTAGTGTAGTCATGAGTGTAGAAGGAAAAATAGGTGGTCAGAAGCATCTTTGCTTACTTCTAAAGAATGTGGGGGAACCTGGGATTTGACTGTTTCATGTTTGAAATAAAAAAAAAACATTGTGTTGCAGCTTGCCATTACCAACAATTTGATGGTTCCGACCAACGTGCTATAGCTGCAAATGCTCCTCTACCCCTGCCTGCTTCAGCAAGGAAAAAAGTTCTCACTTCCGTATATCATCAGCTTAAACCTTTTAGGTAAATCTGAAAGAAAGAAAGAAATGAATAAGTAAGGGTTTGTTCAGAAAGAATTGACCAAAATATTCACTAGAAAAAAAAGTCATGCTTCTGTTTCAAAGATATTTTTGTGTCCAGCTGTGAGCCCGAGAGACAAATGCTAAATGTTCTTGCTTCCTGTCGCCTTCAAGGGAAGATGTATTCACTGGGTCTTGGCCCATTCATAAACTGGATCTGTCATGTGCTGAGTCAACCAGGATTTGGTGTAGAATTTGCAGACCAGTTTTTGTAACCCCATGAATTATTTTGCCATTTATTCTGAGCTACAATGTTATTGCTTTGATCCCAGGCTTAAAAAGGGACATGCAAAAGGCATTTTGAGCAGTTAGCATGAGACTCAAGGTGACACTCTTCCAAAAGGGAAGAT